ACTGAAACTTCTTCGTCGTCGTCAGGATTATACATCTCATTGATGCCGGGTTATATATTTTCTTGATATCAGGGTTATATCTCTTTTTTATATCAATATGTCTTCTTGGAAAATTAGGTGTATATGTTTTCCTGATATCGGGGATATATTTCTTCTGGGTAGCAGGGGGACACCAGAAATGGACTTTACTCATTGTACCTATGTCGGGAATCGAACCCGGGTCTTCGGCGTGACGAGCGAATGCTTTAACCACTACGCTACCTGACCGCCCCTCATTTGTGAAAGCTGATCATGAAGTTATAAAGTTGCGTGTAATTGACACTGGTCATTTTAATATTAAATTCATAGTCTTGTTCATTTGTTTCGAATTCAAGTTCTCAGTGTGAAGAGCCAACTCTTTTGCCTCCAGAGAAGCCCACCGCCCGATCTTCAAACAGATGTCTCAAGCTGTCGTCATCACAGGAAAAAAATATCATCCTCTAACTCTATGATACACTGCGTACACATGTGTTTAGACAATGATTCATGTATGTATCCTGCTCAGGCGGGCGTCTATAGGACTCACACATGGTTTGTTGGGCATATTATCTGGGTTGAAGATTACCCATTGATACACCCACGTTTGAGGTATCATGGTAACCTTATTCTTCTCCTATATATCATACTAATGTCAAAGTAAATTTGAAACGCATTCCTTTATTAATAGCTTTAAAATGTCAGAAATATTTCTCATATTTCTCGACCTGCCTGCTAAGTGGGAATATGGTGAAACAATCCCTATATTATTCCACTAACGAGGCACCAGTATCTCCCTGTTCTACACTGTGTGGGTTGAGATGAAGGTAGGACGGTGCATCGACCTGCTTGTGTTGTACTGTGATTCTCGAACCGACAGGAAGGGGTAACTGGGGCACTTTCTGGGTCATATTATTGAATTTATTACAGTGATGAGAGTGCTTTGACCCGTACACCAAGGGAAAGAAAGAAATTGGAACATAAATCATTAGCATTTAATTACAGAGATACCATTGTCGATCATTGTATGTTCCTTGCTGTTGATACCTTTGTTTGAGATTGCACGGTTTCTGTTGAGATCCTTTGACTTTGAGTTATTGCACGGACGTCTTGCTGAGGGTACTACTGAGCACTTCGTACATGTTGTAGCCATATGTATCATATATATTACTTTTAGGATACATTGTTTATAGTACGTTATATTCATGATGATCTATGACAAGTGATTTTTAAGTCATACCAGGGGTCACACTGATTAAAGTGTACACAGTGCATTATAATGGTAATGATTTAACAGTGCGCATTACGGGTAGATTTCCTTCACTCACTCACTCACTCACTCACTCACTCACCGACTTACTCACTCATTCACTCTCACAGGGGCGGTAGGGTAGCCTAGTGGCGGTGTGGTAGCCCACTGGCCTAGTGGCTAAAGACCGGGGTTCTATTCCTCACATGGGTACAATGTGTGAAGCCCATTTATGTGTCCTTCGCCTTGATATTGCTGGAATATTGTTAAAAGCGGCGAACAAAAATACACACTCTCACTCTCACTCTCTCACAACGATTAATTTACTTTGTATAATTATTTCGACACATACGTCGATATCTGATTTTGATCCCTGTTAATTATGTTATATTATTATGTACATAAGAAGGTCTATTTTGTATTTCAATGATTTCCCTACAATTGTGCGTTGGTTGATTCGACACATATTTATATTTAACTGTTCACGGATTATTTCTAAAATACCCTGTGTCATGACAGCGCCTTCACTCACGGCGGGTGCAGGACGTGAACACTCGTGGAACTCGGGAACACCTGGTGTCGGCATTGTTTACAGTGATTACTGAGGTCATGTCTCTTGTAATATGTTGGTCCAATCGTTAGAATTTAATGGCTATCAGCGCTAATATTACCGCTTCATGAAAATTCGAGCGTGATCACCCCAAAATCATGACTCACCGATTTGACATTGATGTCGTTAATTGATCGCGAATTGGATGCAGACAGCCAAGTGCACGCTCATCTGTTCAGCTGCACGGTATATATTCACAAATATGGTTGTGATTTGAACACAGAAAATATGGTTACCACATATAACTTGATAGGTACTATGCAATAATAGCACGTCTTAAGAGTGCAAAGTGTAGTTATGGTGATTTTTTAGCTGATATTTCATTTGAGAGAAAAGTATATTTTTAACTTAATATTAAGGTGACGAGTGAGCGAGCGAGTGAAGGGGTAAGTGAAACAACATATCACAACGGAGGACCCAGAGATGGGCGAACGATTTAGCTTCAGGCACTGAGTTACTCCACTGCCCCGAATGGAAGTTACATAACCACAATGATACATGTATGTCATTACTGCGTCATCATATCGAGAGTTTCATTCACATAAAAATTCAATATTATATTCATATGAAAACATGTCTAACATTGATCTCAAATTTCTGTTGGTTTTTTTCCTTCTTGAACGACTTTTCATTCATATTCGCATCAAGCTCATGTTTCACGTGAAAGGAATGTGAAAGCTTGTAATTGATTTTAGGGATAAAATATTCCAACATAACTGACATATGTCAATTACATCTGCCCCATGCCGCAACATAAATCTAATTTGTTTACATGTCAATTCTAGCGGAATGTGATCATTAATTGAGCGTGGAGTTGGGGTTGGGGTAATCACGGCAAAATGCACGACGGTAGGGCGGAGAACACAACAGCTGGTCGTCAGGCACAGCTGGGGCTGTCTAACAAGCTGTGCTTCACACTACATTATTCACAATAAAATTGATAGGAGGATTGAGTCATGGTCGAACGCCCTATTTGCCTTCTACATTCAATATCATATACTTGTGTTGGGATTTACAGTGTTTGTTTGTGTTACTTTCTATGAAAGATATTGTGTGGATTTAGATATGAATTTCAGCTCAAATTGCTATCACGGAACAACGTCTTAGTTGTGTTGGTTTATTGTTTGTTTGCAGGTAACGGCGTCTGTAAATAATCGAGTCTGGACCAGACAATCCAGTGATTGACATCATGAGCATCGATCTAAGCAACTTTGATACTATATATATATATATGACATGTACCAAACAGGTCAGCGTGCCTGACCACCCGTTCCCGTTAGTCGCCTCTTACGACAAACATGAGCTGCTGAAGACCAAATCTAACCCAAATCTTCACGGATGATCGTCTGAGTAATCTGGTATTACAATCAACAGGCAATCATAAACTTAAACGGTGTCCTGATTAAACTAAGACAACGACTCAATGTCATTCAATGCACAAGTTACAATAATGTAGAAATCCTGTGGGCGCTGTGGACATATGAGCCCAGTATATGTGGATTTGAGGGGCAAAATAAATGTCTGCTTAGTCACTCACTAACTCGATATCCAAATCTTAAACGAACAATATGTATACACAGTTGCAACATGACAAAACATAATTCGACACAACTAATTCAGTGTAAACAATAAGGAAGACGTCAAGGTGCGATATATATTTCATAAACACTTAACATGCACCTTATCAACACATGTGTTAACTTCACGCCGAGTCCATCAATGTAACAGCAATATCACGGCGGGGTACACAAGGCATACATGGGCGTCACAGTGTGGGCAGTTGAACCCAGGCCTTCGTCGTGACTAGGAAACAAGGCTACCCTTGTGAAGTCAGTAAATGCACAGTGACAAGTCATGACAAAAGTTAACCCGCTTATCAACATGTTTTCATGAAATCAACATGGACATTAATCCAACGACAACCTGACCAACGGTTTTATTTGTAGATTGCATTAGGTGCCTTACAACCTACCAATGTCAGGAATTCCACGGTATGATAATCCTTCCCGGAATTACCCCCCGTAGCCCGATGACTAGCTTTTGATGTATTCAAAGTACCTAGGCACTCACAGGGGAAGGCGAGTCATTCAGGAAACATTCCCCCGGGAGCCTCAGGGGTCGGATAACGATACTGTAGTTAGAAGGTGCTCCCTGCACACAAATATGCTGTCCGGGATGGTTGAACTTACACTGTTTCAGATCATGTTTGGCGATTAGTGTTTATCTTTGAAATGTTGGACTTCTTAAAATTGCGCCTACCTTGTCATCCGTCAACTTCTAAGTAATGCCTATCAAACAATTCTTCCTGTTATTGTTTATGAATTTGATGTAACGTTAATTGTTACTTTTTGTTAATTTCGATGGATACCTCGGATAATCGAAATGAAAGGTTTGCATTATTTACAAAGATGGTATTTATCAAACAAAATAACATGTAGTGATAATTATTTGTTGAATAAACTTGGGGACTTAAAGTGAAAGAAGTGAGTTGGGTTTAATGCTACTTCAACAGTGTTATCATGGGATGAAAGCCCCAAGTGATGCGGGTCTCAGCTGTTCCACTTTAGTAGAACCCACGAGCACGGGGTTAAATTAAAACAAGGCATCATAATCAGGGAGAATCTTGGATTCGAACCCACGATCATTAGGGCGCTCGGTCGTCGTTAGGTGTCATCGAAGTATCTTATCCTATGAAGTAACTCAAGTTTATAGTTATCATAATCATATCCTTAGAGGAAGTAATTAATACTGAAGGAGGCAAATGTTCATGTTGTTGTGATCGATATGACAATGACAATGGTCTCGTTTGAAGTGCATCAACAGCCCATGCATTTAAACATAATCCTCATGAAAAGTATCATCATGATCATGAAAACAATGGAAACATCCTTGGTTTATCTAAACACACAACAACTTATGCATATGATTAATTTCCATTTTACCCTTAACAGTTACCCCAATCTACTTAAAAAACAGATGTCCTTTTTCCATGTCATCAATCTATGTATATATCATGTATGTTTGAGTGCTCCCGAGTCGGCGTGGCCGTGGCAACATAGCGCCCACGTGGCTAACTCCTGCAGCATCAGTGAGATCCTGCTTACTCTGCCCGCCGGCTGTTTCCTCTGCTAGCTCTCGCCATTCCCCCACAAGTTTGAATCACCCGCACCGCACACACGAACGAAGCATACGGCGAAAAAGGACGCTTAGGCAATATTCAATAGATGCATATATCCACTGTCTCAATGCCTGCACCAAACAGTTTCCATCCTGTTAACTGACTTTGATATTCCGAAGCACGTGCTGTCATGGGAACTATAAACTTTACAGGAAGTACCTTGACGCATGCGTACTGAGTGTCTTGACACACCGAACAACAACCGACCTTAAAACCTGTAGTAATAGGTTATGTTGACTCGGAGTGATAGTCGGAGTTGGAGAGATCATGCACTATGCAGATCGAGAGTTCGGGATTACTGTTAGCTGCGGTGACGCTGATCAGTGTTTTAGTTGAAGCCAAAGAGCAGTACGAGTTGCGAGGTAAGAGAGACTTAGTTATGCTACCCTTGTAGCGCCATCTCTTCCCAACTTCCATTGATTCAAGCCCTCACAATAATCACCGCTCTCCCTCACACACTCATCCCCTTGACGCTTAGCATCTCGCAGCGTCCATATCTTCACCCATTTTCTTTCCCTCGGATCCAAAACACGGCCCAACTGACCTTATCATTGTGGGCCGTTGTGGTTGGATCAGATGCGTTTCTAACTTGAAGTCGCCATTTACTTTATGTGATGTGTTTACGAATATTGCCTCGGAATTTATGTTGACTGGAGTAAATTTGGCTGTGAGCGTCGGCAAAATGTAAACGCGGCAATGTTTAATGTCACATGTGAACAAATGTTGAAGACACGACCGTTCATTATATTAGCATGCTATAAATTGATCAATAGCCAGCCCTTGGGTTCAATCAATCCCTCCATTAGGATAAAGTTTCACGTTGAGGGGAGGGCTATTATTTTTAATGACTAGAACGATAGACTTTCATATGGTACACACTGATACAACCACAATTCATGCACATCTTCACTACTGCTTAATAACATAGTGTACATAAAGGAACATGCGCGTCGACGCAATAAAGCCAACGTGTGTGCTGTATGCGCTGCCAGTGATATATGACAGACATGTTGTGCTAGTCTCTCAATACTAAGGCGTTGAGAAGACCAGGCAGTGTCTAAGCTGTGAGACTCTAAACTCCAGTATTGACCGATGATGGTTGCTACACAAAGTCTTTACTACAATCGTCCCATCACTCCACTAGATTGAGGGCTTTTGAATATACAGCGTACGACGAGGAAATCGTTAACATATCTGAGTTTATCATCCATCCGAGATACTTGCTGAACTCGATGCTACATTGCTGTCACTATGGTACGCTTATGCACAAGATCCGGGGTCAAATACGAGATGTGGCTTTTGATAGGATAAGTATTCGGCTCCACTGTATATATGTTTAATTTGGATGTCTGCTACAGACAGGGCTGTCGTGGTTGAACATGCCATGTTATGAATGTAGGTAATATCACATATCTGTTACACGATAAATCATCATTGCATATGTGCCGAAAATAGTTAATGACTGTTCGCATTTTGTAAAGATTCAGATACCTATTTATATGTATATTGATAGTGTTATCGGTCAGAATTGATCAGTACCAGACGCATCTTAACATCCAAAACACTCATTCTAATAACATCTTCAGAAAATTCTTTTTGTATGTATTGAAACACAGACCCAATTAAGAATTCTCTTATAGGCATAATTACATGGTATGTGTATTCGTATAAAGGTAATCCTCATTTGAGAAAAGCATTTATTTTTGTCATATTCATTAAAATCTTGAGTCAATTTGACCCTCACCCCGGTGTTTGTTTACACATACATTAAGCATTATTCCTAAAGGTCCAAGGATCCAGACATAGTTTGGTCTCAATACAGAAATAACCAGAAACAAAGGCAACATTTTCATGACATCTTGTCAGTTGCCTATTCCAGCATGGCCTACGACCAGACATGTGTGTGTGAATGAAAGTGGTAATGATAGCACATGCAGATCAATACATGCAGCCACGACATTGGCAGTGCGACAAGCAGGATTTCAACCCTGGAGACAGCCGTGGATTAGTCAGATGGACATCACACATTCAATCATCATATTAGCGCTTACTCCTCATCAGCTGGCTAGTTATCGTTTATTTGGTTTCCTTGTAAATCAGTTGGGGTATGAGTTGCCCTTACCACTGATGATCCTTATTTAGGCTATATATTTGCAGAGTGGATACCTTAGCGTTAGCCAATCAATGTATTGTACTTGCCCTTATTGAACAGTTTTATTATTTTTATATATAATGGCAACGGCATATTTAACTTGGTTCTTTGTCGTGTATGTCAGGTACTTCCTCATTGCGCAGGTTTATGTTAGTCATTAATATATTAAGAGCACAGTTCGAACACCTTCACGTCAGTAAGGCTGCATCAAGTATCACATGTATGATCTATGTCTTCAGTGAGAAGGTTATTTTCGTGAAATACATCCAGTACTGGCTCATGTATTGGCAATATTAGATATCTCACCCATCATTCACTATGTTGATCGAGTGGACGTAGTATTTCTCCATTTCTCTATCACTGCAATTGGAAAGTTTAGTTTAATAATAACAATAATATCCACAACTTCATCAAGAGAATGCCTCACATTGAAAGAAACGATGTATCTGTTTCAGTGTGTTAGTATTGTCATTCTAATAGCTGTATACGTTGGGGCATACATATGGCTGAAGTGAAAGAGCTGATCCATAAGCACAGCTGTTGGGAAACGGAAGCCATCTGTGGTTGTGCGTTCTCGGGATGTATATGAAACTATGTTGTTTTGACACAGATTATTACTTGATTCGATACTTAAGAAATCGGGTTGTTTTTGCCTGTTGACAAATCTTAGTTTAACCTTACTCTACATGATAGTTCATTGGTATTAGGCGAACATATACTTCTGAGAATGTGAGTAAGTGATATGGTAAAGTGTAGCATGTGGCTCCAGATGAATCAATGTCAAGATAAAACCGATGTCAGGCCTCCTGGAACCGATCCGTAGATGAGCACCACAGGTGGCCTCATGGCCACTATTTTCACTTGAAACATCAATATTACTTTAAAATATTAATTATCACTTCCATAATAGCTATTGGGTACGTCATGGTGAATGGTTGGATTAATCGGTATTGTTGGCCAGTTTCATGACTATATTGTATATTGTTGAACAAGCGATCTGGCTAGTCTCATGACCATAGTGTATATTGTTGAAACAGCTATGTGGATAGCCTCACGTTCATAGTGTATATTGTTGAAACAGCAATCTGGATAGTTTCATGTTCATAGTGTATATTGTTGAAACAGCAATCTGGATAGCCTCACGTTCATAGTGTATATTGTTGAACCAGCGATCTTAATAGTTTTATGTCCATATTGAGTATTATTGAACCAACGATCTGAATAGTTTCATGTTCATAGTGTATATTGTTGAAACAGCAATCTGGATAGCCTCACGTTCACAGTGTATATTGTTGAACCAGCGATCTTAATAGTTTTATGTCCATATTAAGTATTATTGAACCAACGATCTGAATAGTTTCATGTTCATAGTGTATATTGTTGAACCAGCAATCTGGATAGTTTCATGTCCATATTATGTATTGTTGAACCAGCGATCTGGGTAGTTTAATGTTCATAGTGTATATTGTTGAAACAGCAAAAGGAGTAGCCTCATGTTTATAGTGTGTATTGTTGAACAAGGTATCTGGTGAGTCTCATATTCATAGTGTACTGCACACATAGTCACATTACCACATTGTAGCTGTAGGTACATCTAAGGTCAAATAACATTTAATACCCCTTATATCTTCAAACAACAAACTAAGAATATGCAAGTAGGTATAAAACCACCAACCTATACAATTGCCTATTAGTTCATGACAAATCGTCTTAAAATATATATTTACTTTGCTGCACAAGATATACTCCCGTACTTTCGCTTAGTTTAGCTGTACTTACATAATCTCATAATCATAACTCAGTTCGATGCTATGGCCAATGGTACTGGAAGGAAACCTAAGGAACTCTCCGCTATGTCACAGTAACCTGTTCCATCAACCCACCGTTAAATTGACACGTACACCACTCCAACTCCTGACAGTATAGTGACATGTTGGATATCCCTCGTTCTTCCTACAGCTCCTCCAGGTATGTCCCGGACGAGGATACCCACATCGGAATGTTCGAGCCTGCCGCAGTGACACAGTGTACGCTACTGTAATGACTGCTGAATGACTCTGGGGAGCAGGGAGGGGGGATGAGGGCATATTCCAAGTATTGCCTAATGGGGTGTAAGCCCAGGGTCAACAGGTGTGTGGGTCTGCGAGTGCTCACGTGGCAGAAGTGTGTGCTTCGCGGATGTCATGCAAGAAACACATTATCTGGTCTGGGAGTTGTAAATGTAAATGTCATTACCACAAACCTAGAACAGAACATGGTGACATATTCGAAATAATATTGAGAGTCCGAAGATGAAACAACATGCCCATGCTCATAGTGTAAATTGTTGAACCAATCTGCATGATATACTTCATGTTCATAGTGTAAATTGTTGAACCAATCAGCATGATATACTTCATGTTCATAGTGGAAATTTTTGAACCAATCTGCATTGTATATTTCATGTTCATAGTGGAAATTGTGGAACAAATATGTTTTGGTATGTTTCCTAGTGCATATTAATGAATCAGCGATCTCCCGAGTGTCATGTTTATGGCGTATACCATTGGACCAGCGACATGGCGAGTCTCATGCTTATAGCGTATACCATTGGACCAGAGACATGGCGAGTCTCATGCTTACAGCGTATACCATTGGACCAGCGACATGGCGAGTCTCATGCTTATAGCGTATAATGTTGAAGGATAAGTTTGTATCATGTTAATGTATAAATGTATAAGTGGTCATATTAGTCTGTTTGTAGTATATATTGTTGAACCAGCAGTATGGGTCGTCACATGTTCATGGTTTGTCAATACAGACGAAGATGGCAAAGAACAATATGCACGTGTCTCATTGATCTAGCTTTTCCTGCTATTGGGCGTCCAACATCACATACAGCTCACTGAGGTCAAAACATTATGTGCTTATGCATCTGTATAAGAGAGGTTTATGTGTTATTAATATTCCGTTTTAAAGCGAACGGTTTACAGTCACCCTTTTAATGACGAATTAATTTGTAATTTATCATTTTTTAAATGGAAATACTGTACTCTACCCTTTCTTTCAATACTCACTTAAGAGTACTTGCCTATTAAGAAGATAGCCCACAACTGCATATGGGAAGCACATGTGATGCGGCGAAGGTAGTGGGAAAACATTATCAATTACAGACGTGTTTAAAGATACATCAAAGCCCAACACCACAGACAAGCTTGGGGCTCGATCTTT